CGTCATCATGCAGTTGGTCTGCAAGACCACAGTGGCATGTATAGGTAAGCTTTCTTCTTTGATTTTTAGTGTGTCTGTGAGTAGATATTTGTGTACTTTTATTATTATATATAGTGTTAGGTTAGATTTTATTTTATATAATATTATATAATTTATATAGCCTTGCACAGACAAAAATAGTACTATCATGGCCATCCTTTTTTCGGCCTTTTTCTCCTTTTCTCTTTTTTTTCTTTTGTTTGTTTTTTTTTTTGTTTTCATTTAGTTTAGATTTTTTTTATTTTTTTAGTATTTCTTTTATTTTGTAAATTTTCTATTGTTCTTTGGTAGAATTCTTCTATTTATGAGGCTAGAAGAAGAAGGTTGGGAAAGAAGGCAGTTATAATGGGCTGATGAATCAGATCAGTGAACCAGGGCGGGTTGGCTTGATGTAGGTTGAACCAAACCAGGGAGATTAAAATTATTTTTGGCAAGTTATATACAGATGTATTAATATTTAGATATTCTATATAGGTAACTGGGTAAGTTACATACCCGTATCTTTGGATGTATTCTTTTTTCTTTAGATTAAATTAATGATCAATAAAGCATAGGCATATAGCATGATTGCTAAAAAAAAAAAAAAAAAAAAAAAAAAAACACTAAAGAAAGCAATAGTAATAGCTGTTCTAGTGAGTATCTTTAAGAACAATTAAAGTTTGAAGCTTATTATAAGTAAACATTTGAATATCTCAAAGTTTTTTAATAAAATAAATATAAGTTTTACTTTGAAAATAGGATGCTATATATATTGCTTGTTTGGCAATTTCTTTATAACTTGGTTAAATATTTTACAATACATAAATTAATCTGGTGTGCGAAACATGGAAAGTAAACAATTTCAAGATATTCAACTTGTAGTTCTTTTCTAAAATTTATTTAATTTAATTAATTACAACAATATAAAACTCAAATTATTTAATAATTAACTTACTAAGTAGCTACATATAAAGAATAACTATTTGTTACAATCACTACAATTCTTATTTCTTTTTCTTTAACACTATCTATAATTTTATTAATACTTTGTTTAACATTAGCTTTCGCATATGATCATTACTAACTTCTTTTACTTCTCATACTAAAACTTCACCTGAGCTAGTAACTAATACACTTCCAAGAATTGATTAATTTACAACATTTGTTTATCTATCTAAAGTAAGAGTAACTTCATATATATCATTTTGAGCTTTTTGTTGAATATTATAAACAAGTTGATTAGAAGTATGTCTTAAAACAGTACCATTTAATTTTCTTTGTTTTGATAACTTAGCCACAGAATTAGTAAATTGAAAAAGTGCAATAGAATCAGAATTATTTACTCATTGAAAACTCCAACCATTTGAAATAGTTGTCTTAAGCAATAAATAGTAAAACTTATCAAGATCAGCTCCTTTGAAATTTTGAATCATAAAGTTATCTATTGGTCTATTTTTTGATAAACTATTTTTTGACGAATTATGGATTGATATTTAGTATAGGTGGGAATATATAAATATTATAAGATTATTTAATGTAAAAATAATTATTTGAACTAATCTAAACAAATTTGAAAATAGTTAGGGTTAGGGTGAGGGCATAGTATAGTTTATAGTTAGCTTTGGGTTAGAGTTAGAGTTTTTTTATATTAAATAATCTTATAATATTTATATATT